CTCCTGCAGGGCCAGAGGGCGGGGCGAGCACAGGCCACGCCCTCGGCCCCACCCACCCAAACTGCGACCACGCCCGGCTCCCATGCACTGCTTTCCTTCAGGTGCCCCATGACACACCCTGGACTGCACAGTGATCCACTCCACAGCCCAAGCCCTGACCCTGGAGTGTGGGTCTCAGCAGCAAGGTATATCACAAAATGTGAAGGGGAGGAGAGTTCAGAGTGGAGAGAAATGTTCCACGGGAAAAAACCGAGAAACTTCACTTGGAAGAAGCAAGTTAAACAAGGAAAGCCCACGTTAAACATGACGTCATGCATCCACGCCTGACAAGACGTCACTCAAGTCAAACAGCTCCATGGTGAGCGTTAAGATTGGCACTGAAGGGGCTGGGGATTTAGCTCAGCGGCATAAGCGCCTGCCTTGCAAGCAGGCAGTCGCGAGTTCGATCCCTGGTACCGAAAAAAACAAACAAACAAAATAGATTGGCGCTGAAAAAACGGAGCCATTGTGATGCAAACCTCTGGGAAACTGTAGTAGATGCAGTTTAAAAGGAAACAGTACAGAGAGCAACATGAAAAATATTTTAAAAATTTAGAGAAATAGAGGTTCGGCTAGAAAAGACCACCGTACTGTAACAGGTAGCGCAGGACAGAAAGAGAACAGCAGAAAAGCTGTATTTAAAGACTTTCTGGCCATGCATTCTCCAGGACGGAAGGAAGGCTTCCCTGGCCACCGTGTCACATCCGTGCTAACAGCTGCCTTGGGAGAAACCAGCACGAGAGAAGTGACATTGCACTGACAGCAGACCTCACCTCAGCAGCAGGATTAGAATACCCTGTACCTTCCAAATGGGGAGGTGAGTGATGCCTTGCATTCCTGAGCTGGCTAAACTGTGGTTCAGAATGTCTTACAAAGCATTTACAGGATCACACATAGATAATTAGACAGGTCACTCCGAACCCTTACTGAAAGGCTTACTTAAGAATGTATTGCTGTGAGAGAAATGAATCTGAAAAGGCTGGGTGTGGAAGCACATGCCTGTAATCCCAACTACTCAGGTAGCTGAGGCAGGAGGATCTCAAGTTTTAGGCCAGGCCACGCAACTTAGCAAGACTCTATCTTAAAATAAACACAGGGCTGGGGATGAAGCTCAGTGACAGAATGTCTCCCTCGAAAGAGCAAGGTCCTTTGTTTAATCCCCACACATGCACGTGCATGTGCACACATGTACACACACACACACACAGCTCATTCAGGCATACACACAAACCTGGAGGCTGGAGTGAGATTCAAGAAACGAGAATGAATGAATACATTAACACATTCTGAAAATATCATAGACTGCATAATTTATCACTGACTATAAAAATGGATTTGGGGGTTTGTTTTAAAATATTTTTATTACGCATTTTTTTGCCACACACAATGATTGCACTTATCACGAGGTGTCGGCACACGAACACCACACTTCCTGTCATCCTGACAGCAGCCCCTCCCTGCTGCCTCCTACTCCTAATCCCTTCCCATTGGAAAAAGCTCTGTCTCCAATGTTTCTTCAGTATTTTTCAATCCCTTTCCCTTTCTTTTCTCCCCTGTTTTTAAAAAGTATAACTAAAATCCTAGACAACATTAAGGAACTTGAGAATGAGACATTCAGTGCATTGCTAACATGTGCCAGGATCTTCACTTCGGTACTCCATAGTTGTGTTTTAAAAGCGTGGTTGTCTGTAAATTAAGAATTTGAAGACAGACAAAAATGCAACTGAAATATAATTGGAACCTTCTAAATAAGTAGGAGAAAAGAATAATAAAGAAAATTTGATTGGCTTAGTAGAAAGCAAGTAGGAAAGAAGAAAAGAAAAAGGAACATTAAATATATCAATAATTACAAATATAAATACATAGATTAACTTTCTGTGCCAACAATAGAGGAAATCCAGATTTGATTGCACATACATATATGGCTTTGAAATCTATAAAGCCAGAAAGTAAAAGATTCAAGGAGCAGTGGGTAAAACCATATTCATTCTGGGAGAGTTATTGTAACTATTTAGAACAGATCGAGCAAGCAAGTAAAAAGAGCAAGAGTACTGAAAAATCCAAGCAAAATTAACAATTTCGACCCTACAGAGCTAAGTAGAAATTAGCATCTAAATTTTGGAGAAAACAGAGAATATTCATTCTGTCTAATTCATTAAACAACTAAAAATTGATCACAGCCTAGGATAAATGGAGCTTTAGCAAAAATCAAGTAAATATATAGATCATGTTCTTTGAGTATAATCGACTAATTTAGAAATCTACATTAAAGGATAATTTTTAAAAAGAATTCAGCATCTTAAAGGCCACTAATGGAAATAAAGTACAGAACTGAATGAAACAGTACAGTGTATAGAATTCAGGAAGTGAGGAAAAGAAGCCCAAAAAGTCAGAAAGAAATTAAATCAAACAGAAGCAGGGACTGACCAACATGACTTTTAAAAAGTGTCTTGAAGTTGTAGCAAAACTGATGATGTAAACAATGTCAGTAACAAAAATGATCATAATTCTCATTCGAGAAAAGATTACAAACCATTGCAGAGAATATAAGCAGTGAGAGACACCTCGGTCGTTTTGGACAGCTGATGTGATTTTGACATAAAAGCCAGGAAAGATAGTATAATAAAAACTATGAACTTAGATGAAAAAATCAATGCAAAAGTTAAGTCCACTGCACACACATTAGAGACGAGGGCTCCTTGCTGCCCTGGAGTGGGGTTTAGTAATGCAAACAAGCTTCAGTATCACAGAGAATTCACCGTGTTATCAGCTAGGATGAACTCTCTGTAGAAAGAGAAACCTAACCATAAAAGCATTTTTAAAACCAGAAGGAATTTCCTTAATGCCCACTAAGGAGGCACTACAAAAAAATCCTATAATGAGCTATTTTTTCTTTTGTCCAGAGATACAAATTAATTAGTAGCAGAAGTAAACATTTTTACTTGATGGTGATGATGACTGTGTCTTCCCTGGTCAAGGGACAGTGTAGCATGGTAATAAAATGGCCAGTGGGAGAGTCTGATGGTCAAAGAAAGTTTTAAAACTAAAAACGTCAGTATTTTTTAAATGTGGGAAAATGGACAGACTACTAGAGCTGTTAGAACCAGCAAGTTCTTGGGCTCAAAAATCATCTTATCAAAATAGCATTAGCGGCTAGTCTAAAAAACTCACAGCCCAAGTTACGTCACGAAAAATATCAGACAAATGCGAGTTGAAGAACGCTCTACCAAACACTTAACTTGTGCCCCTCAGAACTATCCATGCTGTGGAAAACAATGCCACTGTGAGGCTGGAGGAGACCCGGGAGACACAGCGGCTGTGCGGGAGCATCTTCCCGGACTGGGTCCAGAGCAAGAGCAAGACAGGAGTGCACAGGTGGGAGCCATCTGAATAAGGTCTGTAGCTTGATAGTTCGGGGCCAGTGTGAGTTCCGATGCTAACGCGAAGGGAAAGTGAGTGGGGGGAATCTATTATCTTTGCAAATTTTCTGTCAGACCCAAACTTTAAAAAGTCAATCAGAAATTAGGAGTGACACAACTGGGAGAAACCTGAGGTGAAACAGCAGCTGTATTGGGGAAAATTGCATTCCACCTGCAGAATATGAATAGAAAATGACTTAGACTGTGGGAGGAGAAGGTCTTGACACCATAATATCTGGTACTGCAGCTCGAGGCCTGGGAGGAGGGAGGGGATGCAGTCCTTAGAATATTTTAAAATCAGCTCCAAAACCATCAGTAGCTCCCAAACAAATACCCCTGTGGGATCCTGGGCACTTGCCTTGTCTACCAGCTGTGAAGCCCACTCCCTAGATCTCTGACCTTCAGTCTGGCGCCTGGGGAACTTACTCAGCACACAGTGCTTTCATCAGCATTTTATATTTACCAGGCACTGCTGGGTGCAGAGACCCTCAGGTTAGGGATTCTGAAACACACTCCCAGCCCAGCCCGCAGCTTGTTGCTGTGGCAAGCATCCACTGCCCATTCCTTCTTACGTGTAGATTTTAATTTTAGGTGGTGAAGTCTGTGTGTTCTAAGGCGAACTGCTTTTCAAAAATGAGCTGCCGCTGCCTTACACATTTTTTTCCTTGAAAGTTGGAATCGTGGCCCATTTTTCTTGGCCACATGAACGCCAGTGTGGCCTGACCACAGTGCAATTCAGCTTTCTCCAGCGAAGTGCATGCTGGGTGAATGTGCTCGATGAATACACCTGCACGGGTCCTCTGCACATCTCTGCTTACTTTCTTGGCTTTTTAATGCTTCGAGATCGGACTAGTTGGATCCCAGGGTACTCTACAAAGTTTTTATCATTCTTTGATTTTACTACTCGGGAGGACACAGAAATAGTTCCTTGTCTCTCGAGGTAACCATTGCACGACTGAAGAGTCACCGCATGCGTGTCTGCGCTCTCCGCGCTCAGGTCGTTTCCCTGGTCGCTGCCCGGTGGGGCTCCGGGAGCCTCGGTTTATCGGGGACCGGGCTGAGCCTCTCATGCGCCATAGGCGGCAGGGTCCCTCCGGCCGCGCTGCCCTACTCTGGATGCTAAAGAATGTATTTCTGCCTGCTGGATTTGCCTTTCGCCCTTCATTTAGCGAAACGCTCTCGCCCTCCAGTGTTCTCGGCTCTCGCGATCGTGGCAGTGGGCCGGACCCTCGGCCTGGCCCCCAGCTTCTTTCTGCGGGGTCCGCACCGCGCCCCCGCCCCGCCCCCTCGGGCCAACCAGCTCACGGGGGCCTCGCGGCGGCAGGGCGGCCTTGACGTAAACCCCGGCCTCCGCGCCACGCTGTCGCCACGGCAACCGCGTCCTGATTGGCGTGGCGTGGGGCGGAGCAAGGGACCAGTGAGGGCGGCACGGCTGCTGATTGGCCGGCGGGAAGCCCCGCCTCTGCAGAGGAGCTAGGGGGCAGCGCGGCTGCGGACCCCGAGGAGGACAGGGCTGGCGGCGGCGCGGATAGCGGCGCTGGAGGAGGAGGAGGAGGAAGAGGAGGAGGAGGAAGAAGAGAGGGAAGAGGAGGACGAAGAGGAGGGGAGAAGGGGGACCGCGCGGCGGCGGCGATGTCCCCGCAGGGTTGGTGGAGGCGCCTGGCGCCGGGCGCGTAGTGCGCTGCGGGGCGGCAGGCGCGGAGGTGAGCGTCGGGCTTTGGGGTGCGGAGGCCCGGGGCGCGCCCTGCACGGCCGCTCGGCCCAGAGCCCCGGGTCCCCTGCGCGCCGCGGAGGGTGGCATGGGCCCACGGGAGCCACATGTCCCGAGCGAGGGCTTGGAACGTGTGGCTGTGCGGTCACCAGAATATCCGCGGACTTCGAAATATCCGCGCGTTCGATGTAGTCGCGGTGGTCCGCGCCTCTCCGGACCGCAGGCCGTGTTTGGGTGTTCCCGCTGAGGCGGGAGCTCAGGCTGCCCGCACAGGGGCCCGTCGGGGTCCAGGACGCAGTTGTCCCCTCAGGCGGGCCGGGCCTGCGCTGCTGTCCCGGCCCCGCGATGGCCCGCGGGGTTCCTCAGGCCTGGCTAGCATAGGGCCTCTGTCTGTTGTGTCCACTCGCGTTCCACTCCTCGGTGACAGTCGTGTCGAGGGCAGCGCCATCTGCTCGCGTCTGCACCGAACCTGAGTTGGACCCCAGCTGACTTTAGCTTCTTTCCTTAGGGGTTTCAGAACCCACTCTTGAGTGCCTCTGGAGACCCTGCGCAAACTCTGAAACCTCTGGCTAGAGGGGTTGCAGCTCAAGCCTCGAGTGCAGGCAGAAAAGCCAGAGCACTGCCGGGGGATGTACCAACAGGAAGGTGAGACCTGGGATGGCAGTGTCAAAAGGGTCGGCAGAGTGCCCGGGTCGAAGCCTCTGTACTGCTGTTGGGGCTGCCTTAGTACTTTTCTCATTGGTGAGGCAGAATATGCATCACCTAAAGGTAAAAGAGAAAAGGTTTATTTAGCTCACAGTTTGTAGAGGTTTCAGACCACAGTTGCCTGCCTCCAAGATAGGATGGTGTGCAGAGGGGCATCGTGGAGGGGAGAGAGCTTGTGGAGGACAGAAGGTAGCAAAGCTGCGAGGAGAGTAAGTGTAATCAGTGACCCCTCTTTTTGTCCCTTATGTCTTATCCAGGCTGCCCACCCTTGAGGTGAGCAGTGGTCACACCCAGCCTGGGGCAGCCTTCATCCTAGCATCACACCTTTAAACCAGGCATCACACCCTTAATCCCAGGATCATATACCCTGGATCTAGGCACCTCTCAAAAGCACCCCCTCTGACAACATGAGGCTTTGGGGAAGATGGCTGTTCTCTCTCTCTCTCTCTCTCTCTCTCTGTCTCTCTCTTTCTCTGTCTCTCTCTCTCTCTGTCTTTTTCTTCCTTCCTTTCCCTCTCCACCCTTCCTAGTTTCTCTCCTGGGGGGACATCTAGATTCACTCCTTAACAGGGGCATCCGGGTTGTCAGCCTGTCATGGGACAGGGGCTGAGGGCCCTGAGCACTGTGGGATGTCTCTGTCTGTGGCCAGATGGTCCCTGGGGGACCAACTTTACAGGCTGGGAATACTGCTGGAGTCTGCACAGGAAAGGACTCTGGAGGAGGGGCCCCACCTGGGAGAGAACCACAGGACCCCAGGAAGTGAACTGTCTCTTGGCAGTTTTGTGTGGCTCAAGACTGGATCTCATGCCATGGTCCAGGCTGGCTTTGAACTTTATGTGTAGTCCAGGCTGTCCCTGTAGTAGCCTCCCTCGGGCTGGGATTGCAGGTGTGAACTTCTATGACCTCCTCTGGGCAATTCTTGTTGGGCGAGAAGCAGAGCTAGCCAGGCCGTCACCCAGCCTTCAAGAGGCAGGAGTTGCAGGAAGTCCTTGAAGGGTTTGGGTCAGGATGAAGGATCAGATCACACCACTGCCTGGGGGAGGACAGGGCTGAAGGAACTGCTGTCGGAGCGGATAAAGCATCCGGCTGGTATCTGCTGACCTCACAGACGACACCAGCAGTGACATGACCAGCGACGACGACATGAGCCCGAGCAGAGGAGAAACACCCCCACCTCAGTCGGTCTGCTCTTCCAGCAGTGAGTACCCGTCAGCCCCACCAGCACCCACCCATAGGGGAAGGGCATTTCCAGGTGCCCCTGGACCGGCCTCTTAGGCAATGTTGCGCCAGCCCGCATGCATGACATAGCTCTGACCTGACGGGAGAGTAAATGCAGATGTTTTTATGTCAGAAGACACCAGTGGAGAGTGAAATGCAGGGCCTCTCAAGTCCTAGCATGAGTCCCGTGAGGGAAGCAGTTCCTTCATTCTTCTTCCGTCCAAACTACCTAGATGACCAGGACCAGGGTCAGAGCCAGGACTGGGCCGGGGAAGGCCGAAGTGGAGACGAGGAGCCTCAAGGCCACTGGTCATATCCCAGGAGTGCTAGAAGTAGTAAGTTGTCTGCCAGCCTGCACCCATGCACCTGTGCCTTAGACATCTGCTCCCTGTGCACCTGGGCCCTGTACACCTGTACCTCACTCACCTGTACCCACGTGTTTTTTCTGTGGAACCAAGGCCTCAGCAGCCCCTGCCCCTCGGTTTGACTGTGTTCCAGTTCTTCCAGAGCTTGGGCCCAGTTCTTTCTCCTCACCCTTGCAGGAGGTCCACCTGTGCAGTATCTGTCATGCACACCACCGTTTATTCGAGGTGTTTCTTATGCTGGTGCTTTTTTTTTTTTGGTGGTACTGGGGATTGAACTCACAACCTTGCACTTGCCAGGCAGGCACTTAGGCCACTAAGCTAAATCCCCGGCCCTGGTGCTTTTTGTTTTTTTTTTTTTAATTTGAAGTTTTCATATAAAAGACCACACCACTACAAAAATTTAAAACTTAGGACCAGGAATTTAGCTCAGTGGCATAGGGGCCTACCTGGCAAGTGCGAAGTCATGAGTTCAATCCCTGGTACAAAAAAAACCAAAATATCTAAACCTTGTGTGAAGTGCCACAGAGAGAGAGTGACTGTGAAACACAGTCCATTTTAACCATGCTAACCAGTTAGGATAGGCTGTCACCGCATGGTGCAGATGTGAGAAACCAGGCCCTGCTTCTCAGGGATGAGAGGAGAATTAGGAGCTGCTGTATTGTGTGCTGTGTTGGCTTCAGCAACTAGTGGTCACCTTTATTCCTCCTGGACTTGGGGCCCACTGCAGTGGTGTAGGGAGCACTTCAGTAAGGAAAGGAAAAGGCTGTGTGGCCCTAGCTGAGGGCTCAGGGCCAAGAGCAAGTCTGGCAGGCCCTCCAGGACTCACACTGCAGCCACCACCTCCGTTAACTTTGTGGTCAGGCCTGGGCCTCCCCGATGCCTTGCAGGCAATGAGCTGTGGGCGCCTCCTGGTGCCTGCTGGGCTGGCCTGGGCTGCTCCCCCCCATGACTGCTCCTTCCCAGGGCTGCTCCCGTGGGATCCATCCCTTCCTGGAGTAGAAGACGAAGATACAAGCTTGGAGGTGGACAGAGATGACAATGGGGGTGACAACGGGAATGCCATGGACTGTGAGGCCCAGCCCCAGGTACACGCACCCTCCTCCCCAGCCCAGTCACAGCAGCAATGCCTTCCTGTCTCCCAGTGCTATGTCCATCTGTCCTGGGTCCTACAGGGGCCATGAACCCTCATCCCTCCCAGGAGGAGCCTAGTGTGCCCCATGGGTGAGGAGCAGCTGTAGTCACTGTTGCCATCTTAGGTGCTGCCCACATAGGTCCCTGGTAGGTGGGGTATCCTGGCCAGTCCTGCAGGGCGGAGAAACAGAGCCTGTAGCCCTCTCTGCTCCCCAGGGCCAGGAGCCAAAGGAGCCCTGTGTTGCAGAGCAGATGGGCAAGGGAGTAGGGCTTGAAGCCTTGCCTGTCTCCTGCTGGCTGTGCAGTCCTCCATCCCAGGAGATGCAGCCATCCAGACAGAGAGCTCCCCGAAGTTACTGCCACCGCTCTGAGTCCGTGCAAGGGACACAGGAGGTTGGAGCAGAGGTCTGGGTTTGGTCGCAGAAACCGTCTTCGAGCCTAGCATGCGCGTCAAGGACAGGCACGGGTGCTGGGGCCCGGGCACTGGGGAAGCACATGCAGAGGCCTGGGCAGCGGTGGCCTGGCCATCATACTGTCGCCTTTGGTGTCTAAAGTGCCCGTCCTTGGCCGAAGCTGTGGTCCATGCCCTGCCCTGGAGAGGCCACAGATCTGGGAGCCACTGTCTCCTGCTGATGAGGCCTGGCCAGGAAGGTCACTGGCTACCCTCAGATCCTGCCAGCGCCATCTGTGCTCCCGGGCAAGCCTCTTCCCTGTACTGGACTGATGCCATGGGTGAGGATTGCCACTAGGGGACAGAGACAGCCATATGGGCGCTGCTGCTTTGCACAGGAACTCAAGTCCAAGTCAGGGCATCCTTAGTCCCTCAGAGGCACAGCACAGTGCAGAGCTGAGCGTGCATTTGTCTTATTGAGAACGACAAATGGCAGGAGCAGTGTGAACAGTAACTTGTCCGGTGTGGTCCTCAACTCTGTGCACAGGAATGTAGACCCACCCACCTCTGTCCTCCTCAGGTCTCCATTCGGCTGCTCCCTGCTGGCCTCTGGTTCTGAGTTCTGGCTCTCTTGGTGTGGCCATATGCATCTTGGTGTCAGTGCACATGCCCTCATTACCCCATACGATCCCTGCCCCGCTGCCCTGAGAAGCCTGCTGGCCAGTGGCCACAGGGCACCAGCAGATCAGGTGTCACGGGGCCATGCTTGTAGTGCCTCCTGGGGTTTTGTTTATCCTCCGGAAACTCTCAAGTGTAACCTAGACAGAGATTTGTTTTCAAATCTCTGCTTGTTTCCTCCCATGCTCCAGGATTTCGTGCCTGCACCCCGCAGGTACAGAGGGGGTCTCCACGGCCCTGGTGCCGTGTGCCTTGCCTTCTGAGTGGATGCCCCTCACTCTGAAAATGCTGCCTGTTTTTCTTGCGTTACGTTCTGCTTGTTGCTACACCATCTGTAGTCTTCCCAGCAGAGCAGCTGTAAAGTTACTATCAAAAGTCTGTCTTTATATAATTTGTCTTCCTGCATAAACACAGGCCACACACTGCAGGAGCTCCTGTCCTGCAATCTGGCCAGGCACAGTTGGTACATTTGCTTGACACCAGGCTCTCCTGAGCAGTGTGGAGGAAGTTTAAGTCCTGTTTGGGGGGAATATCTACTAGGATGAAAAAGGTAGCCCTAAAATGAAGGCCCACTGGTCTTGGCAGTTCTCCTGTTGTTTTGGAAGCCTGTACTGAGGCGTGTTCTGCATAGCCATGCTGGGCAGCTAGGGAATGGGGAAGGCAGTTTACGTATGTGTCTGGCCAGGCAGGTGTCTGTGTGAACCTGTCCTTCCAGTCCCCAAGGCTGTATGCTTGTGGAACATGTGACCAGGCAGAGCTTTCCCACCATCCTGGCCTGCAGGTACTGCCATCTCTGCACAGCACCGTGCCTGCTCAGGCCCTCTGTTCAGGCCCCCGCAAGCCCTCTCTCTGCAATGCCCACCCATCCAGCCTCTGTATCTGTGTCCGGGCTTACTCTTTATTGTTCTCTAATTGTTTCATTAGTCCTTTCCCCCCAACCAAATTGTAAGCTGCATGAGGTCAAGGAGTAGGCGTCACGTGTCTTTGGGATCTGCCTCAGAGTGCAGCTCCAAGGTAGGTGCAGCGTAGGCGCCCAGTACCACATGGCTTGGATGCCTCAGACCCAGGTATCGTGAGCGTTTCCTGTAGAGCTTTCTGTCAAGCTCCCGTGTCACCAGCATTGTTTCTGGTGGGCTGCTGTGGGCGTCGGACTCCATCCAGAGGTCTGTGTTCACTGTTCTAGGATGACGAGTCCTTCCAGAATGTCATGGGCTTCAAGTTTGACTGGAAACTGCAGAACCCAATCCAGGATAACATGGAGACCTACAGGAAGCTACTCTCCCTTGGTAAGCGGTGGCTTCGCCCGGCCACCCCCGGGGTGAGTGCAGGTTAACAGAATCCAACTTTCACAAGAGCCTTTGACGATTTTCAAGTAAGGGGATAAAAAAGTCTGTTTGGCTTTGGTTGAGGAACACATTGCGCAGGTGGGATGGGCGGGGCTGGCTCTTGCCATGGGGCTGATACTTTGCCCAAAGTAGTAGAAGCAGACTTCATAAGCACATGTGGAATGGGACCTGTGTTCCTGACTCATGTGGGCTCCCCAAAGGCCTCTGGTCAGCGTCGCTCGTTGGCTGTGCAAGTCCATGAGACTCTTGCCTTCAAAGAGTTCTGGTATTTGGAAAGCAGGTAGGGAGAGAGCATGTAGAAACTGGGGTAGGACCACGGAAACCTGGAGTGGCTGAGAGAGTAAATTCACGAACATGTAGGTCTGAACAGATTTCTGGGTGTAGTCAAGAGAATTAATGAAAAGGCAGCTAGGAGTGGGGTTAAAGAGTGAAAAGTAGGACATAGACGGGAAGTGAAAGGCACCCAGGGAACCTTGGAGAGCCCTGTGCTGTTCACAGCTCATAGCAAGGTGGAGGTCAGTCCTGGGGATGGCTTTCTGACTCCAGTCTGGATGCTAGCTGCAGTGTTGTTCTTGTGACCAGGGATACAGCTTGCTGAAGATGACCGCCAGTCCCACATGACACAGGGCCACTTGCTGAGGGTCGCCAGAGACACCTACCCCAGCACCAGCCAAGGTGAGCATGGGCAGAGTGGCACGGAGCTTGTGACCTCTGGACCCACATGGAGAGGTTGGGGAGTCTGCCTGCTCCTCATGCCCCCTGCCGAGTTCCACCGACTCTGTGCATGAGTTTGGGGGTGGGGGGGGGCTTCACCTTTGGGGTTTCTTTCCAGGTCTGTATACTGTGCCTGAAGCCCAAAACTCAGCCCAGCAGCAGGAGGCCTGTGAAGAGGAACTTCCCCATGGGATGATCATGGAAGATGTTGTCAGGGATGTGTCCCGCTCCAAGGGGCGTGGCCACTCCAAGGCTGGAAGAGCCAGGGGGTCCAGTGAGCAGCTGCAGAAGTTCCCCAGAAGGTTGGATGACAACTGCAAGGACGCGTCGTGTAGCAGGAGGGAGGCAGGGATCCAGGGGAGGGGTCACGAAGGGAGTCTGTGCTGGGGCAGCTTCCAGTTCACCTCAGGCCTTGTTTGCAGGAGGAGAGTGCTGGAAAAGAAGAGGCACTGCCATCTGGACTCTGATGGGCAGGACCCTGATGACTACCACAGAGGCTGCGCTGGGCAGAGACCTGTTGAGTGCGGTGGTGAGGTAAAGAAAGCCACCAGCCCACATGGCCCGGGCAACCCCAGCACCCCCTCCATCTCAGAGTCGCCCCCTGTCCATTTTGGAGCCATGCCGTATCTGTGCGACGAGTGCGGGAGGTCATTCGGTGTCATCTCGGAGTTTGTGGAGCACCAGATCATGCACACCAGGGAGAACCTTTGCAGCGATGGTGAGTCCTTCGTTCACAGCGTGGCCGGCAGCGAGGTTCAGAAGGGTGGAGGGAAGCACTTCTCGAGGAGTGCGGGGAAGCCTTCACTCCGGGCTCTGCCCTGGCCGCCAGTCGGGAATCCACACCAGAGCGTATCTCGCAGAGCATACGGACCAGGATGACAACGAGGAGACGGAAATGCCCAGCCCGACCTTCAGGGAGCTCCAGAGGATGTATGGCAGAGACAAATTCTACGCGTGCAGGATGTGCGAGCAGACCTTCCTTCAGAGCTCCGCCCTGATGGATCACCAGGAAACACACAGCCCAGAGGAGCACCGGCGAGCATGGGAGCGCCAGCATAAGCCCAAGCCCCAGCACCAGGACACGGTTATGCCCCGCTCCATCCTCCGTGGATCTCAGAAAAGGTACTGCCAAGAGAAAATCCACGAAGGCGAGGCTTGTGGCAGGCAGTCTTTTCTCAGCAGCACTTCCCTGAAAGAGCATCAGAGAACACAAAGAGGAGGCCCATTGGAGACTGAGAATTGGGTGTGTGAGCAGTCCGGCGTTCCTGGTCGGTCATGTAGAAGGCGGCAGAAGAGCTACACCACAGAGAAGGTCTGCGACCTCACAGGTGGCAGGGATGCCCTGATGCAAAGCCTGGACCTCAGCACGCCTCAGAAAATCTGTTCTCGAAAGAACTCTGCAGGCAAGGTTTATGAGAAACATGAGAAACTTGTCATTTACAGAGCGCCTTTTCCTGTATCTCAGAAGAGCCCCATGATTACCAGGCCCCCCGAAGACGAAGAGAAGGAGGAAGACGAGAAGAAGGTGTTCACCTTCAGTGGCAATCCTGGTGAAGACCAGGAGTTTCCCATGGTGGAAAATGTCCTTGAGGGGAAACCATACGAGAAGCCTGGCGTTCACAGTCTGGCCTCTGCCCAAGCTCAGAAGTGTCACAGTGCGGTACAGCTCATAAAAGCCAAGCTAATGGCAGAGTATCCCTCCCAGAGCTCTGTGGCTGTTAATGACCAGCAAAGCTGTTGTGAAGAGGACACCTGGGAAAGAGAAGGTTACAGGAGGCCCACTGTCCCTCGCCTCGCTTTGCCCTCATGTCACAGAAGGAATGAGCACATCAGACGTGGTGAGAAGAGAGAATCCCCCATTTGTATCTCTGACCTTAACAATAAGTTGAAGATCCCTTCCAAGGAGAGCCCCTATGAAGCAGAAGAGACTAACAGCTATGAGGACCCTGTTATGTGGGACGCACCCCGCGCTGAACCACCAAGAAGCCTTGCTGGAGGAGGAGCTGGTATATTTAAGCAGGATGGCATAGCCACTGTTCCTGGGTCAGATGTCCGGGAGTACCAGAAAGCTCGGGCTAAACAAAAGTATCTTGAGCCCAGGAGAAATGAGAGCTCTGCAATTCATTCCCTGCTGCTGGGGGAGCGGCCCTCAGCCTTCCCTGGAGAGAAGCTCTGCGAATGTCAGGAGTTTGGGGAGCCCTTCACTCACGGCTCCAGCCTCACCGAGCACCTAGAGAGTCACAACAAGGAGAAGCTTTCTGGGAGCAGGAACTATGAGCCAGCTGTGATCTGCAGCTCACCCCTTGTCGACCCCCAGACAAGCTACACCCAACAGGAGTATGCTGACGGGCAGGCCCACCAGAAACCCGAGAAGCTCCCGCAGCGCAATGTTACAGGCAGCAGCCCTGCTGCACTTTGGAGAGCTGATTCCCCAGAGGAGCCCCACTGTCGGACCATGGAAGACGCTGCCGTCCAGGTCTCAGACTTGGAGGAGTCTGAGGAGAGTGACTCTGAGGAGGACACAGTCTGTGGGCATCAGGACTCCGGGCCAGGCTCTGCAGACCTCTCAGATCTTGAGGGCCAGCAGGATGACAACAGCTGGACACAAGTGGCTGGAGTTCACTCACATTCCGACAGTGAGCCTGAGGAGGTGGGTGGTGGAGAGAGCGGGGAGGTTTCCCCTTGCGGTGCCTTTCACCTCAGGCCCTGGGAGACCCGCAGACATGGCCAGATGTGCTTCACACAGGGGCCCAAGGACACATTTGTGAGCCTGCGGAGGAGGCGCGCTGCCTTGTGGAGCCGCGCCCTTGCACGCTCATCTGCTCAGTGCACTCAGTGTGGACGCAGCTTCATCCGCAGCTCCATCCTGCGTGTGCACATGCAGCATCACAGGGACACGGCCATGCCTGAGCCAGAACTGGAGCTGGAGGCCGAGTCCCTGCCAGAGCCTGAGATGGAGTCAGAGTTGGAGTCCGAGCTAGAGTCAGAGCCCGAGTCTGAGCCGGAGCCTGAGCCTGAAGTGGAGTCAGAACCTGGGTCCGAGCTGGAGCCGGAGCCAGAGCTGGAGTTGGAGCCTGAGTCAGAGCCTGAGTCTGAGCTGGAGCTGGAGTCGGAGGCTGAGTCCGAGCCTGAGTCTGAGCTGGAGTCAGAGCCAGAGCCAGAGCTAGAGTTGGAGCCTGAGTCTGAGCTGGAGCCAGAGCCGGAGCTGGAGTCAGAGCTTGAGTCTGAGCTGGAACCAGAGCTGGAGCCAGAGCCGGAGTCAGAGCCTGAATCTGAGGTTGAGTCCGAGCCAGAGCCGGAGCCAGAGCTAGAGTCAGAGCCTGAGTCCAAGCTTGAGTCCGAGCTGGAGCCCGAGTCAGAACCAGAGTCGGAGCCTGAGTCGGAGCCGGAGCTGGAGCCAGAGCCAGAGTCACAGCCAGCACTTGAGTCGGAGATAGAGTCAGAGTTTGAGTCACAGCCAGAGCCAGAGCCTGAATTACAGTCGGAGCTAGAGCTGGAACCAGAGCCTGAGTTGCAGCTGGGGCTGGAGCCAAAGCCAGAGCCAGAGCTGGAGCCTGAGTTGCAGCTGGAGCCAGGGCCTGAGTTACAGTCAGAGCTGGAGCTGGAACCAGAGCCTGAGTTGCAGCTGGAGCTGGAGCCAAAGCCAGAGCCAGAGCTGGAGCCTGAGTTGCAGCTGGAGCCAGAGCCTGAGTTACAGTCAGAGCTGGAGCTAGAACCAGACCCTGAGTTGCAGCTGGAGCTGGAGTCAAAGCCAGAGCCAGAGCTGGAGCCTGAGTTGCAGCTGGAGTCAGAGCCTGAGTTACAGTCGGAGCTGGAGCTGGAACCAGAGCCTGAGCTGCAGCTGGAGTCAGAGCCTGAGTTGCAGCTGGAGCTGGAGCCGGAGCTAAAGCCAGAGCTGGAGCCTGAGTCACAGCCAGAGCCTGAACTAGAGTCAGAGTCACTGCGAGAGCCAGAGCCAGAGCTAGAGCTGGAGCTGGAGCTGGAGCCGGAGCCCAAGTCGCAGCCAGAGCTGGAGCCAGAGTTGCAGCTAGTGCCAAAACCCAAGTCACAGCCACAGCTGGAGACTGAGCCCGAATCACAGCCAGAGCTGGAGGCAGAGCTGGAGCCCAAGTTGCAGCCAGAGCTGGAGCCAGAGCCCAAGTTGCAGCCAGAGTTGGAACTAGAGCTGGAGCTAGGGTCACGCTCAAAGGAGCTGCAGGGCAGCGAGGCCAGGGAGAAGCTCTTTGTGTGCGCTGCATGTGGAGGCCACTTTTTCACAGCGAAGGAGCTTGGCGATCACCGCACCCAGGCCCATGGAGAGGAGGCCCAGGAGCCTGGGCACACCTCTGTATGTGCTGCATTTCTCTGCGAGCCCCTCAGGAAACCTGCATCACTCTTGGACAGTGAGGGCCATGGGTCATCCGATGTTCCTGACTTGGACTTTGCCAGTCAACAGATGCAGGAGGAAAAAGCTGTCCCCATCCCCGAGGGCGAAGCTGGTGTCCTTGTTCCACGTGAAGCTCCACAGGTTCAGGAGTTAAAGGAGGAAGCTGCTGAGCCGAAGCCAGAGACAGCCGAGCCCAACATAGAAACTGTTGAGCCCAGAGAGGCTGCAGGGCCAGACGGAGAGGCTGCTGAGCCCAGTGGAGGGGCTGAGGAACCAGACAGGACAGGGATGGAAGGCCCTGGAGAAAGGGCTGGAGAGCCGGTGGGAGATGCTGACGAACCCCACAGGGGGACAGAGGCCTCGGAAGACGGAGGGGATGGTCTGGAGAGCCAGCCCAAAGGACCAGGCAGCAGCTGCCCCAAGTGCACAGGCGCCTCTGCCTCCAGCACAACCTTGGGTGAGCACCTGCAGAACCATGCCGCCACAGTCATCCTGAAGCCCGGGAACATCCTGGGCCAGCACCTGGGCGACACCAAGCACGCAAGCAGTGGTGTGGGTACACAGCAGGCTGGTGAGAAATCCTTCAAGTGCAGGGTCTGTGGCCAGCTCTTCAGAGACACATCCCTCACTGGACACCAGGTCATTCCCAGCGTCTGAGTGGGGAGGCTGGAAAACCTTTGCCTAGACCCTTCGGAAGCCCTGGAGAAGTTAGCTGACCTGTCAGACGTCAGTAGGAAACTAACTTAGTGTGTATAGCCCTGACTCTGCCGCCATAGCTCAGGCCTGGTATGGAGACTCCTCCACCCCAGCTCCCTGCCCCATCTTCGGTGCACGGCTGTGGAAGAGCAACTGAGTGTACCTTGCTTTCATCTGTGTGAGCAGCTTGGGGACCCTGTGAACATTCCATGCTGCAGAAACTGCCCCGTCCTCGGTACACAGTGCTGCTAGGCAAATGTTGACCGCCAAGCAGGTCCCAGCGAGGCGATGATCACATGGACTTGGACCTCATGCTGCACAGTTCTGGTTTACTCTGTAGAGCTAACTTACTGGTACTCTTGATTTTTTTTTTAATTTTTATTTTTTTGGAGGAGAAGAGAGCGACAAATTCCTATATATTTGTGTCTTAGATCCTGGGAAGGTTTATTGTGCATTTGAACCCTGTCAGTATCTTTTTACCTGTTTTTATTCCCTGCTCTCAGTCTTGTGAAGCTGTAGATAGCAAGGTAACATGTGTTTTCTTCTTTGCTGTTTGATAAGACAAACAATTCTAGTTTCCTCCTACAGCCGTTTTGTCCTTACCGATGCCTTGGGACCTAGTGTTTCCTGTACGTCTTTACAAGCTGCGGGCTGGCTTTTCTGGCCCAAGTCAACCTGCCACCCCATTGTGGGCACCTTGTGGTGGTTCTCAAGCAGATGTATTACGGTGTGGGGTGTTTTTAAAGTTTTTTTTTTTTTTTTAAGCAAGTCGGTGTGTGTTCAGTGAATTCATAAAACCTGAAGCTTTTCCCTATAAACTCTATGCCTTCGCCTTTAAAGAGTGGGTGCGGCCGTTGCTGGGCTGGAGTTCGGCCCAGTGGAGGCCAAGCACCAGCAGAGGCTGCCTTGCTGTAGCTAAGGAAGCCAGATGGAGACCTTTCCTCACTTCGCCTGCGCTTCCCGCCTTAAGAGACTGCAGCACCATGGCCGGCCCCTCCGTGTGCTGCCACAGGTCCATTTGCTCTTGGGGTGGCCAGGAGCACATGTCCTTAAGATTGCTAACATCAGTGTACCTGTTCTTTACCTGTCAGACTTTGGCTCCATGGTATCTTGTATTTAAAAATACTAAAAAAAAAAAAAAAAAAGCTTTCTTTACAATCAGCCCACGCTTAACATGGACTCAGGTTCCCCAGCAGCTTTAATTTGTTTTGTTACCCTCTGTCCCTTTTCTTCAGCCCCTCCGATTACCTGTGAGGTGTCTGTCCCTGTCCTGCTGGTCTGATCTCCGTCACGAGCTGACCTCATGGCTTGAGGTTTCCGTGTCCGGCCCTGGGGCCCACCTGTGCTCCTTCCCTTCCTCTCCCTTGTATGACAAGCTGTTCAGTACTATGGTGGCTGGGGAAAAAAATTAAAAATATAAAAAGAACTTGAAGCAGATCTTTCAGTGAAAGTCAGTGAAAAATAGGGGCAGATGACTCAAGCAAACAATCTGCCAGGGGATATGTGTCTGCATCTTCCTCTCTAGAGCTGCACGCCTGGGGCTCATGCATGGGCAGTGTGCAAGCTGTGCCAGTGTCAGAGTCCAGGTGGCACAGGAAACTGAGAGGAAGATGCAGAAATGACTATGCCAAATCAGGGATTCCTGATCCATCGCCAGACTAGGAGGGAAAGGATACACAGAAGGAAACACTGGAAGTAGGTGCCAGATGTAAGCCCAGGGTGGAAAAGGTGAGTTGAGTGGAGTGTCCTGGGCAATGGGAAGGTGTCTTTGACAGCATGGTACCAGTGAAGGGCAGCTGCATACAAAACCCAAGGTTGGAGTGGGCATTCAGGGAACTGCGGGGCAGGGAAGTACTGCATCAGAAGGGAACTTGAAGTGGGTTTCTGCGCTTTTGCAGTCAGGACAGATTATTTGGCCAGACTGTTACTGTGCAGTGTAAATCACTAGACCCTTCTCAGAAAGCAACTGGTCAAGAAGATAGAATGTCTTTCCAATCTTGACTGTATGGAAACAATTTAAATGCCAAATTATAGAAGAATGATTAAGGTATTCTTGGACTCGTATGCAGCTGTTTAATAATCATGAAGAATTACATAGCAGTGTGGAAATATATTTGCAGAATATTAAGTGGAGAAAGCAGGACACAATTATATTTATACTACAATTATAACTTAAGATGTATGCTTGTAGTCAAGCTATTGTGTTGTGGGTTTATAGTTAAGCATTATTTTCTAAAATTTTTTGAGTATTCATGGTAGTGTTGTTAAAGTTAATGATCACATTTCCATTGTGAACATAAACTCATTGTCAAACACTTGGAAAATACAGAAAAGTGGAGGAAAAATAATCCATATCTCCAGTATCTGCAGACATAAACCCTTCAGTATCTTGTTTATTTTTGTTTTTGTGCACAGATTTATAACTGTCAAATTGTGAATTGAAGATATCATATTACTCTTGTGAAATTATACTTAATGTTAAATTTTTTATAATGTTCATTATAGTGTCCTGATAAAAAAGTTTATATGTCTCTATTAAAAACAAATATGTGTCTAGAGGCAAAATTAGAAAATATAGTAAAACTAGAGAAGAAAACTTCACCCGTATTCTCAACACCCAAAAATACTGTGAACATCTTGATTCGTTTGCTTCATCTGGAGTGCCCAAGCTTGTGATTATATCTGTGTTAAATATCTATGCGTAAAGTCTAAAATGAAATGTGAAAAATAATTAAAACAGCGTTGTCATGGTTAGATATTTTGTCTCAAATTTCTTGGATATTAGTTGGATCCAAATTTCTTGGATATTAATTTTATGTATGTATTTTTTCATTACAATACAATATAGAAAGCTTGGAAATCTAATAAAGCAGAAGAAAAAGTTTCATCCTTGTTTCCAGCAGCTGCTGTTGACATCTCGATCTGTGCACTGGTCTCTATTAGGATGTTAGTGAGAGTAATGGGAAGAAATATAGAAAACAACCAAGAAACAGTTATGTGGTTATCGTGGGATTATAGATAAGTATATCATCTCTGTTTCTTTGGTTTTTATTATAGAGCATTGATAGCCCACCTTTATGACATATATTTCCATTATATATGTGTACATGTTCATTATAGAAACTTCAGAGTTGTGAAAATATAGAAGAGTATTTCACCCATATTTTCACTATCCAAAGACTGGTTAAGATCCTGATTTTTTTTTATCTTATTTCTGTTTGCAGGTTTTTGTTTTGTTATGGTTGTGGTCAATTATCTGTAATTGTGTCAACAATAAAAATAAAAGATACTTCTCAGTCTCTTTTTTTGTTCATTTTAAGTGTTTTGAGTTATTGAGTAGGTATTTTTTGGTTAATGTTATAAACCCAAAACAGTACCTCCTTAGGCTTAAAAATGTATTTGGGTTACAAATTTCACTTTTTTAAAAAAAAAAAAGTTCTGCATATTTCAAAAATTACTCCTAAAGAATCTCTTCATGTTACATTCCTCCATGTATTTAACTGTACTTCCAAGATTAAAATATATATATTCCAGCTTAGCAGTGTAAGTGCCTGCCTGGCAAGCGCAAGGTCCTGAATACAATTCCCAGAACCAAAAAAAAAAATATATATATATATTCCAATAGTGTTTTTATATTTGCTAATAACCACCAACATTGTCTTGGTTACTTTTCTCTTGTTGCTGAGACAAAATAACTGGTGCCCAAAATTAGGGAAGGATAGGTTTGTTTAGCTTACAGTTTTTGGAGGTTTTAGTCCATACTCTGCTGGCGTGGCTGAGGGCAGCCATTCATGGCAGCCATTAGCAACAAGAGCAAAAGGGCAAGAAAGGGAGAAAAGCACGCCACCTTCCTTCCCTTATATAGTATGCCAGCTGTGTGGCCCGGGGGGGGGGGTATAGCACTAACATCACCAATCTCAGCACTAGATAATCAACAATCACAAATGCTAGGCTAGGCTGCCTCCATGATTGCATGAGGCTTGGGGGGACATCAAATGTAAACCATAACAAACATATTTCCGTTATTTGGGCATTTTAAAATTAGAAATACAAGATTCTAACAAGAATTTATGATCCCTTAACATAAAAATACTAAAATTAGGATTTAGAATGCCCATAAAATGTCTGTTCCTAACTTTTTGCTGCAGTTACATGGCATCCTCAGGGGAATCATTTCAGTTCATCAATACTAACCTAATTTCATCATCAGGAATATCCCATAAAAATTATAGATTATAATCACAGACAATTTGGAAAGTTTAAACATGCTTGTGATTCTATGCTGATGAGAGATCGTCAGCCTAGTTGCCCACTGGAGCCCTGTTGGGGATCACAGTGTGACACAGCACACAAAGGCAGCTTCTGTGACCCTGATTTCATTGAACTCGAAGTGGTCCTGTACCTCTCTCCTTTCTGATCCCCTCGCACCCGAATGATTGGAGTTTGCTCTTCAGGAAGAAAAGCATACTTCCATTTGTACCCACTCTGGCATTTGCGGGCATTTTGCATTTTTTCCAGACTCTTAGAACTTAACATTTATTTACACTAAAAATGAAAGCCCATCAAGTTGTGATCATATCTTACAGTATCAGACTCATTTTAATCACAGACTGGATGGTCATTCTTTGAAAAGAGGCATTAATGTAGATCAAGGTGAGAGGTCAGTCCTATCTTAAGACTGGTTTCCTGCAGAGTCTGTTACAGAAGGTGGTAGAAGGGGATGAGGGAGGTGATAGGTGAAGGTGACCAGCCCTTATACTCTTGAGCCCTTATACTCCTTCCTTATACATCTGATGCATACATTCATCTTATTTGAAGAGGGAGTTAACTCTCCTGCTATGTTTATTTCATGAGATTTGACCTCTCCCTGGCATAAACTTACTGGCCTTATGGGTTTCCCATGTCCAGTCGAGACTTGAAGAAATTTAAGGCCAGCTGGGTGGTTATATGGCAGGTTGGCGCACTGAGGAACAAACAGACCTGGAAGAAGACGAGGCCCCATGGTCTGAGGGAATCTTGGTTCCTGTTATCTGATCCAGGTTAGTGGCTTGTGAAGTGAACCACTGCCTTTCCCATTATTATGATTCAATGGCAGTGGCAATTTACACAGAAAGAGAAAAAGTTTATTGTGACTTGTGGTTCTAGAAGTTGTAGTTAGAAGTGGAACCATCACTCCAGGCCCCTGGCTAAGTTGGCACGTTACAGTGGGAGTGTGGGGCAGGGTAAGCTGCTCACTGTGAGCCAGACAGCAGAGGTAAGATGAGGCCAGAACCCCAAATCCCCCTCACGGAGTGGCATCAGGATGTCCGGGCGGGCCCATTTCTCAGAGTCCCACCACTTCCTAACAGTGACAGTGAGGCCCACCCCTTTCTCCTCTGGGCCACTGGTGGAACGTGGCCCTCATGGCACATGGGTAATACATCTGTTTGTCAAAGAAATGTCTTCCAGAGTCTACTGAATGTTGAATCTAAACAAACGCTAATTCTTGGGGAGGGGAATCTTGCAAGGTGAAGCAGAAATGAGCAGGTGAGCCAGCGCCCCCACTGGGAAGGCCAGATGAGAAAAGGACATGGCCAGTGCTGCATTCTTTGTCAACCGGACATCTAGTGGCAGGCTGATTGCACTGAGCTTCTTTATCATCGGGTAACGCTGTTGTCACAATGGAACACAACATGTATCATATATAAATTCATATTTATGTACATATCACATTATACTATACACATCTATGTTTAATACCCTACATTATATATACATTTTTGAGGCAGAGTCATGCTCCTCCTATGTAGTTTGGGCTCGCTATACAGGCCAGGTGAGCATGAACTCATGGGTGAGCCCCCTGCCTCAGGCACTTGGGTGGTGAGGTGACAGACATGTGGCACCATGCTCGGCTCACGTTTTTAAACATTGGAATATTTAGATTTATATTTCAGGTTAAAGTAACAACTATCCACTTGATACACAGTATAGTAACATTTACATGTATATTGCATAGATGTACATATTTATATGCATGTGTACACATGTACTTGTGTGAATCACAACCTATGTACACATCTACAGATGTATCAATACTTATGAAATTACAAACACATATATATGTATACATATATATACTCTCTGCATGTTAGTTTAGTAGGCCTTTTTGCCGGTTACCCAGTGTGTTATTCCTTAAATCATGAGTTTTTACAAAATAATTTACTCATGAGATGGCCCAGCATAAGGAGCCAGGAGACCAAATCTCAAATTCATGTTCTTTAAAATAGAATTCATGAATGTTTATGGGCAAAGAAACAGGGGGATTTGAGGTATTGGGAAAGATGATTGTGGTTTGCACATTCATAATCAAACCTCATTGCTCTTCGGAGGATTGCGTACAAAATGTTGGTATCAGGTGTGATACGAGGGTGGAGTCTGTGCCTGCTGCCATCAGAAGATCATCCTGGTGAAGAATGGGTGCTTTCAACCAAGTGAGTACTAGTACTCTACTGGAGATTAGTGCTCTGTTGTCTGCTGCCTGACGTGCAACATTAGCGATTTGAAAGTTAACATCAGGGCTGGAGATATAGCTTAGCAGGCCAGAGTGCCTGCCTGACAAATGCAAGGTCCTGAGTTCGATTCCTGGTACCAATAAATAGTTAACCTCAAGTAACTAAAAGCAAGCAAGGCTCACAGGTTTATTTAGGTTTCCCCTTGGAAGGACACTTCACTTTTTTATTTTTACGTTTTGGTATCAAGAATCGAACTCCAGACCTGGCGCTTGCCAGGCAGGCACCTGTGCCCCTGAACTATTTCCATGACCCTGAGGAAGGACCCTGCAAAGCACAGTAGTTGCCTGTATGTGAGTACGTGAGGGTAAATATTTGGCGGATGGAGCACATCTGCAGAGGAATCATTGTTAAGTGTCTACTGTTTATTTTCAAAATTCTTGCAAGACTCAACGCACAGACCGAGCAAACTCCTTTGAGGTAGGAAGCCCACAGACACCACTTCCGCCCAGGTTATCTTCAACCAGGGGTCAGGACCAGAAACGGACACCAGGCCTTCCCAGTGCGCAGGCGCGGACCCTCCAGTGCGCATGCTCGCCGATGTGCGCGTGCGATCTCGTCAGGCGAGGGCGTCGAGCAAGGCGAGGTGAGTGAGGGGCGCGAGTTTCTGAGCGATCTGGAGAAGGGACCGCGAGGACATGAGGCAAGGGTGCGAGGCCAGGAGGGCACCACTGGGAGGGTATGGGGGGGCCTGTTGTGCAGCGTGGCTGTGAGGCATTCGGGGACTGAAAACGAAAATGAGGAGGTGAGGGAGGGCAACAGACAGGCTGCGTCCACAGTCTGCCCTGTTCTCCCCAGTCAGTGCTGTTTTCGGTCAACTCTGGCCTCCGGCTCCCCTTCCTCCCCCTACTCTCAGTCCTCTTACTCCTCTGCCTCCCCCTCCCCTCCTCCTCCCACTCCTCTTTACCCCATCCCCTCCCTTGCCCCCTCCCTTCTCTTTTCCCTTCCTCCTTCCCTTCCCCTCCTCCCCCTCCTACCCCCTTTCTCCATCCTCGCCCTTCTCCTCTCCCCACTCTACTCATGATCAGAGCCCTCACCCCTGCCGCGTCTCTCTCATCCTGGTGCCTCCTATCTCTGCCCTTCCTCTTCCCTTCCTCACTCGGTTGGGCCCTTCTCCCTCAGAGCGTCCCTTTCCAACACCTCCATCCCCTCATCCTTGTCCGAATCTTGCCCCTTCCTGCCTCAGCAGGATTTCCCCCTCAGCCCTGCTTCTCCTTCACTGCTGACGTCTAACATCTTACAATTGTTTTATCTTGTAATTTGTATTGCATGAGCTTCTTCAATAGGATGACATCCATGTTCCTATTTCTATTTAGATTTCCAGTGTATGAATGTGTATTTCTGCTGGGGCTTCATCTCCTTGGCATTCTCTGACTCCTACTTTTGAACATTCTGAAGAGTGCATAATGATTTCTTGTACTTTTAACTTGTGTGTATCTGGTAACTAATGAAGTCAAGCCCCACTTTATAGTAGCCATTTCACCAGCTTTTTTGTATATTCTTAAAATCTTTTAAGTTTTTTGCTCCCATTTTGTCTGTTTTTCTTATTTTAAGTTCTTAGTCTATTTTGCATTATGAATCCAGTCCCTTTTAGGATGTATATATTATCAGAGTCTTTCCTCATTTCTCTCTCTTTCAGACAGATTCTCCCTGTGCAGTTCAGGCTGGCCTCGAACTCACTTCTTTTTTTGGTATCAGAACTCAAACTCAGTTCCTTATGCTTGCCAGACAGGCACTTGTGCTGTATCCCTAGGCCTTGAACTCACTTTGTAGCCTATGTTGGCCTTGAACTCATGATCCTCCTGTGTCAACGTCATGAGTGCTGAGATTACAGGAGTGCACCACCATGCCTGACCTCCTTGTTTCTGTATAATACAGCTTTCTAACTCACTTTTTAAAAAACCTGAAATGCTTTATTTTGTGGCTTATCAATTTACTTTATTTCATTGTGTTTGGAGTTCAAATCTCGTTTACCTTGAAAAACGTCCTTGTGGCTTTTCTGGGAATAGGGCTGAGACATGTCTGTGTGCCTATATACAAAGCTCTATGAAAGTATGTTTAGACGTTCGTTGGATATAAACTAACTTCTTTTGCTTCAGACTGTCTCTACCTTACTGTCCAAAACATACCATGTACTTTTTTTGGTAAGTGTCTCTGTAATATCTGCAGGTCCTGAGGGCTTGGTGTCCTATATCTGGTACAACTCCGTCCACCCTACCATCTTCCACAAACCATATATAAATCAGCTTTACTGCAGAGAGCTTGAATCCTGTAAAGGACTAAGCTGCAAAGGTGCCACGTGTGACAGAGAGTTTGGCCATCATGAAGAATCCTCACATCTTTGATCTACACAAGCAAGAGGAGGATCCAGAAACTAGTTCCATAAACAACCCAGGAGCTGTAAATGATTCTGGTCAACAGCTGAGGCATGTTCAGTGTTTGTCACTGAATGGGCCTTACCAAGCTGTGAGCCAGACCCAGGAGCTTTGCTGCAAGTGGCAACAGCTGGAGACCCACACAAAGGAGCAGAAAACAGAGCCACCAACGCTGGAGCAGTTTCTGATTAGCCTGCCAGAGGAGATCCAGACATGGGTGAGGTCAAAGCAGCCAGAGAACAGCAGGGAGGCAGGCCTGTTGGTAGAAGACTTGGTCCTGGCATGTGAGAATCCAGGTGAGACAGGTAGGAGCAACGGGTTACTTCTGTCTGCTGAATGCCTGCTGTGTACATGGTATGTATTAGGAGCTGAGTAAAAAATGCATTTTATTCATCCAGTCTAATCTGCAAAATTGTAAATGTGAAATAGAAGAAATCTGGGCTTTGGTTTTTCCTATAATATTTATTATTTCTCAGAAAGTACCAACTTTGTCCCCCCCATCCCTTGTATCCAGCCTAGGCTCTAATATCAATAAAAAAGCAAAACACGTACTACAAAAAAACCTTCTAGGATTATCCATGGTATTAATAAGTGTAAATATGGAGAAATTGATTTTTATGTGGTCATCCCATTCAAGGACTAGAATGGCCTTTTAGAAAATGATTAAATTTTAGGTGCAAGAGGACATAAAATGTGGCAGGCTGGGAAGTTTAACCTCTGCCAAAATTTACTGGCCTTGGTAACTAAGGTTATTAGATTGGAACTAAGGAAAGCATTTTAAGAATGAAAGAAGAAAAACACTCAATTCTCATAATTCTTTAAATGAAAATAATACTAAAAATATTGTTGAGAAGGAGAGAAAAAAGAATAAATACAAATCCAAGATTGTAGCTATCTCTGGAATGAGGACTGGAGCATGCACAGTGCAGAAGCACATAGGGGAAGGTAAGTTACTGGGAATGTTTTAGTTTGAGGATTGGAAAGTAAACTTACGGCTTTATTTACACTTGGGACTGAAAATAAGTAAACTTAAACATGATCATGCATGGATCCATGCCGATAGCGTATCATGAACTAAGGATTGTGCTTTATCTAGTTCTGTAGGCCTGCATTTCTTAAAATGATTTTTAAGATGGAATATATGTGTGTGTATAGAATACTAGAAATTAAAGTCAGGATCTTTGCACTGAGCTACATCCCCAGCCCAGTTTTTATTATTTTATTTTGTGACAAGATTTTGCTAAGTCACTAAATTGCAAAGGCTGGGCTCAAACTGGGATCCTCCTGCCTCAGCCTTCCAGAGTGCTGGAAATACAGGCATATACCGCCATGCATGGCTTAATAGTGTGTATGTTGAATGCTTACATTGTATTATTGTGTTTTTACATGTGAATTAATTTGCTTTAACAGCTTTGTGAAATTACTTTCATTGTATAGAAGTTGAAACAGACACAAAGCTGAGTAATTTGCTGTGGTTCCACAGTTCTTAATTGGCAGTCAGGGTGCTTGTTCCCCTGTCTGCAGTTTAATGACAGTGTTACTACCAAGAGTGGAGAGAGTGGGAATTATCCCAGACTTTAAAGGCTTGGCCAGAGCCCAGAACCATTGGAGCTACAGGTCAGTGGGGAGTAAAGAGTAGCCTAGGATGTAAAAAAGAAACAACAGATTGATGAAAAGTGTACTTGAAACAAAGAATACAGGCAAGGAGTGTTTTCAAGGTTCAGATTTCTGGAAGAAAGGTTGTCTTCTGGGAAAGGCTTAATAAGGGCTGCCATTAAAAATTACCTAATGAGTGCCTTATATTTGTAATGCTCAAGCCTCAGAAGAGCCCTTAGAGGCATAGGTGTAGGTATTACAGTTGAAACTGAGTTTGCCTCATGATTTTGATTATGCATTGAAACTGTAAGCTACTAACACTGGATAGGGAGGGGCTTTCATTTCATTGGAAGACAGTGGGAGCCATTGAAGGATTTAAAACTGCGGAAATCTTAGAGCTCCTTTTTGGGCTGGACTGTGTTGAAGGGAGAAATTATTTTGGTGGCCTTTCTCTCACCATAGGAAGTCCATCACAGCAAGATAGGGGGTAAGAAGCGGCAGACAGTTTCACATCTGTGTGTGCTGCCAGACAGGGCTTGACTCCACGGTCATTCCTCTCTTCTAGCTTTCTCTGCTCAGGACTCTATCCTTGTGGAAAACAAGAACAACAGAGAACACCAAAAGAGGAATACAGAGGCATTAGGCTGTCCACTGTCGGCTGGGTCCCAGGTAAGGCAGACACTCTGGGGACTTGGTTCTTAGATATGGGGAGGGATCTGGCCTTCCTGTTTCTGGACCTTCCTTGTTCAGCTAAATTGTATTACACAGTTTTCCATTTCTCTGAAGTCTTGGTTTTTGAGTATCTCATAGGCTGTGTTCCCTTCCTAGTGGGGAGGCTAGAGTGGCTGGGCACCTGTGCATCAGCCAGGCCACCACTGCAGTGTTGGCTCCCTGTCCCAGTGAGTCTGGTCCTCTCCAAGATGGAGTGTACGCCGGGGTGGAGTGTAAGGCATGCAGCAATCAGGATCTGCCCAGCTTCTCTTTCCAGACCCTCTGGTGCTGAATTTTGGTCAGTGAGTCTCTCCCTCTCATTACCTGCCTGACTCTGGTTTTCTCTGTCTCCACACAAGTGCACCTGCTTTCCTTTAGGGCATTAAGCAGAGTCTCTGTTACTTGCTGCCACCGCCAAGCCTGCCACAGTGATCTTAGGTCTCGAGTTTTAGGTGTTACGGACAGCGCTGTTACAGTCACGCCTGTTCAGGTGCACAGGAGCAGACCTACCTAGGAATCAGAGGTTTAGATTCAGAGTGGTTTATCATTTACCTTTCCCTTAGCACCTCACAAGAGATCTCATGGATAACACTTGATATTGTCACACTTCCTAATATTGGTCAGTTGAATGAGTATGGTGTGTTTTTAGTTTGATTTACATCTTCATACATATCAATAAGATTTTAATATTTCTTATAAGTATCAGTTCTCAGAGTTTTACTGATAAAATGCTGAGGCTTAACCTACTCACACTAAATTTTTAAGATCCAGAGCCAGGGCTTGAACACACCTTCCTGATTCTTGGCAACACAGTATACTGCTGAGCTTTTAAATATCCGTATTCTTGATTTCTCCTGACAAGTGTCTTAAGAGGCTATATTTGCTCTACATAAACCTCTAGTAATTGTTTACTAATTGTTCTGACTTTTCTCAGGAAGGTGCTATGCTAAGTTCCCATGGCCTCTGGTTTAGAGCACATAGAAGCTTTCTGTCAGTCTGCATGGCTGCTTCATATTCAGTCCTTTCTCATTAGGCTTGGTCCCCTTTCCCCAGGATAATTCCTGGGCTTCAGTGGAGTGTTTCTGCTGGTTTAGGAGTTGGTGACGTTTGATGATGTGGCTGTGACCTTCACCCCAGAGGAGTTAAGCTACCTTACTGCTTCTCAAAGGAAGCTCTACAGAGAGGTGATGCTGGAGAATTACCAGAACCTGGTTTCCTTAGGTAAGTGTGTTTTCCCCATAGAACTTGATTTCTGTCCATTGGATTCATGGTCCACAACTGTTCTGCATCTTCCCATCTGTAGTGGTGGCTCATTGTATCACCTCTGGGTCAGAGGCAGTATTTTAATGTCAGGCTCACTCATGATAAAATAGCTAACCTTTATCAAACACTTAATATATGTCAGGCAATAGCCTAAGCATCTTGCAGGTTTTAGCTCTCAGCCTCACGCAAGTTCTATGAGGAGGAGGTATAATTCTTATTGTTGTTATTATTATTGTCATTTTATATGTACTCCAAGAAACAGACTCAGAGGAAACATAGATTTCTTACTTAAAGCTGTGATTTGACCTGTAGTGGCCTGAGTCTAGAATCTTCCCCCTTAAACTCTGATGTGCTAAGAGACACTAATTTTTCCCAAACCTTTTGATTATGTTAACTAGGAAATATAAGCTTGGTATTAGACTGTCTCAGGATTTTGTTAGTCTTCCATTTTAGCAAGAAAGAAGATCTCAGGAAAAACAAATGTAATTCTGTTCATTTTTTAAGTTTTTATGTATCACATTCCCTGTGCTAATGTATAGAGTTTAGCACACCACCATTAGACCCTCTTTCAGTTTTTAGCTACGTAGCCGAATTTTCAGCCTTGACGATGTTGGTGTATGAAACCAGATAATTACATTGTCCTGCACTCTCTGCATTGCACGATACAGAGCAACATCCCTGGCCACCACCCATCAGACACCAGGGGCTCCACCCCCTTTCCCACAGCTTTGACAACAAAAGACAGCTCCATATATTCCAGATGTCTTCAGGGGACAAAACCATTGCGAACCACTGCTCACTAAGCTTGGAGACAGGCTTCATTTCACTTTGTAAAAGTTTGCACCTTTAAAAAATTATTCCCAAGTTGTGAGGAACCCAAATTGAGAGTTCTTGAATCCTAAGTTATGAATCTTCCTTCTTTAACAGGGCACCAGTTTCCTAAACCTGACATTATTTCTTTCCTGGAAGAAGAGGCATCAAGAGCAACAAGAGAGGACAGTAATGCAGTGATGTGTCATGGTGAGTAAAGCCCACGGAGAAGGGATCGCAGGAAGGCAGTAATCCCACCCCACTGGTCAGGAATGGAGCCAGGACATGCCAGGTAGGACCATTCCTCAAGGCTGCCCAGCTAGAGGAGCAGGCTAGTGTGTGCTGTCACTTGAGAGCCTCTCTCTTGTCAGTGCTTCCTCTTATTTCTTTTCTGAAGTTCATCTCTTCCTGCAGTACCATTTCCTCTTATGCACAGCTCAAGGGAGGCTGATGTCCCTTTAGTGTTTTAACCTTTCCATTCACTTGTGCCTTCTTCTTTGCAGCTAGAGTCAAAGATCTTTCCTTTTTATCTTCGAGAAAGAAAAAACCTTGGCAAGCTATGACCTCTCCTTCTCACTGCCTGCTCCCAACAGTCCCTCAGATTTACAAACAGCCACAGACTTCCTTCACTTCTAGTCCCTTCCCTGTATGACCCTCACAGAAATCTTGAAGAAGAGTGTCGGAGGCAGAAGCATTATCACGTATAGTGAACCTGGATGTTCCAGAAGGAGGCAGAAAGGCTGTAAGGTCTGAGGGAGGTGGAGGGGCACAGCAGGAGCCAAGCACCGGCCCACAAACGGCTGGTTAAGGAACATGGCTTTCACTCTGAGTGGGTTGCAAAGGTAGTGGAAGGAGTTGAACGGGGAGTGAGGTGGCAGCACTGCCATTTTAGAACTGTACTGTCCGGTATGGTGGTCACTAGCTACCTGTGGCTGTTGGAACTAGTTAAGATTATATAAAATTTACAATGTGTTGTCTTGGTCACACTGATCACATTTTTAAGAGTGTGATAACCATGTGTGGCCAACAATTACTGTGTTAGACAGCAGAAATGATTTTTTTAATTGTGGCAGAAAGTTCTGCTGGGTGGTGTTTTCCTGAAAAATCCATTTGGCTGTTCTACAGAGAATGGGTGAGATAACGGAGAAACTGGTTCTTTTGAAGTCCATCTGGCTATAGGTGACAGACCCTGATGCCGCAGTTGAAGGGTGTGGTTTGAGGTGTTCTGCATACATAGAATTAATGGATATGCAGCAGGCAGTGGAAACACAAATTATGGCCAGACCATCTCTCAGTCGTCCACTCCTGACACGTCCCGTAACACATTCCTGCTGGCTTGAGCCACCTGTGGTACACAGCAGTACAAGCCAGTGGGAATGTCATATGTTCAGATCAGAGCAGCCTGGCAGTAAGAATTACAGCCCAGTCGTGAATGTGCTGAAGGTCATTTCCTAAAAGGTCCGATCCGCTGCGATGGGACTCCTCTCCTTCTTTACCCGGAGACTGATAGAATTGTGGGGGACCGGCGGTGGCTGAAAAGATAAGAAGTATAAAATATAAATGACCTTTATTTTGAGAATGCGGGGAGAGACACCCCCGATCCCCTGGGGCGCGGCATCTCCACCCCGGGGTCCATGATCTCTCCATGGAACACGTGGAGTGAGGCACATAAGTAGCCTCAGTTTGGGGTGGAACCTAAGGGGGCATTAGGGATGCACAGGTAGCCCATTGGTCTTTGTTTGGCGCCATAGGTAAATTCCTAGGAGTGGGGGAGATGGAGCTCCTTGGTTCCACCTCTATGGCTTCACCAGCTACAGTGTCCTGTCTGGGCCAAAACTCTTTCAGTGACTAAGCTGCATATGCTGCACACATGTTGAGTATTTGTAGGGATATGCCCCTGTGTTCCTTATTGCCTCTTCCGAACCGCTGTACTTGATTTCTTAGCTTTTTTCTCATCCAGGGAATTGTCTTTATAAATCCTAAATTTTTGACCAGTTTCTTAGTACCCTCATAAGAAAATTCAACTTGTAGCAAAATATTTCATTTCTTTCTTTGTGGCCTGAAATTCATTTACTAATCTCATTTCCCACAGATCTCCATCTAAAATCTCATGTTTCTGTCTTCCCAGAACTATTTTCATAGTCCAGTGTTTCTGTTTGGGCTGTTTTCTAATGTTACCACCATCCTCTTCATTACCAAGCCCAAATTCTGTCCTCTCCACTAATCTTTTCATGGAATCAGTTACCCCATATCTGCTTCTGTAGTGATTTTAGTCTGATTGGAATCCGTTTTATAAGCTTCTGACATTTACAGGGTTGGATAATGCCTTGCACATAATAGCCTCACCAAATGTTGAATTAAAGACAAGTAGTTGGTTGACAGTGTAGATTTGGTTAAAATGAGAGATTGGGATCCATGAAAAGAGAATCTTGTTGCTTTATTGTGAGCAAAAAGTTGACCTCTTCATTCCACTGTTGCCTCAAAGGTCCTGCAGTACCATGGTAATAAGCATTGTTTAAAAAGGTTCCATTATAACTCAGCTTGAGAAATACGACATTCTTCAATGTGTCCCCTTTTGAGATTTGAGGTACATATCAAAGGTTCTGAAGAACTGTGTAGAAATCTAGCCTGCTAGACTGGAATTATCTAACTTTCCCAAATTGACACACACCTATTAGTTTTTGAGAATATTAATGACCTACTAAGAAGTTGGAAAATGCTGTTGAACTCCAGTCCCAACTCTTTCCCCTGTTTTTTTTTTTCATTGTACTCCCTGTGTCTGTGTCATCTTTGTCAACATGACTCCACCTGCATGGTTTCTTCACTGCCCTTCTTACATTTTCTGGCCTTTTGTGCTTTCCATTCTTTTCTGATTTTCTTCTCTTTTCTAGAACACTTACACACCCATAAGGTCTACTCCACTGTCTTTCGTCTCTTCCGTTTCTATTATAATGACACATCTCTCGGAGGAAAGAGTAGAGGAACTGTTACATTTCTTTTAGACTGGGAAAAGAGACCTCAAACCAAAGAACCAACCTCAGAGCAAATCCTGCCTATAGAAAAATCATCTTCAGAGGAAGGAATAGTGGTTCTGGCAATAGATGATTTCTGGCATGTCTGTTTAGGAGACTGTCCTGATCCATTGGAATCACACCAAGACAACGCGAAGAAACACATTTTTAGTCCTGTAGGGCCAAGTGACACCAAAACCCTTGCTTAGGGAAAGAGCCATGGTACTGATGATTTTGAGAGAAGCTCTCATCTTGCCCAGCAGTCAGGAGATCTTCCAGGAAGGGCTCTCCAGCAGGGCAGTGTTACTAGCAAGGACACCACACCCCAGCCAGCACAATACTTCACTGTAAAATTTGTGAAAGAGTCTTTAGTTCCAAAAATGGCCTTGTGAGACATGAGCTGATCCTTACTGGGAAGAAACCCTTTGCCTGTAGTGTGGTGAAGCCTTCTTCCTCACACTGCACCTCATCAGGCACCAGAAGTCCCATGCTTCCCCTGCTAGTGAGAGGCCCCCTAGCTGCAGGAAAGGTGCAAAATCTTTTACCCAGCATATGGATCTCTCGGGGCATGCAAGAATCCACAGTCAGGAGGACTGCTATGAATGTGTTCAGCATGGCAAAGTCTTTACCCAAGACATGCATCTTCCTTAACATCTTAAGGGCCACAGGGAGGCCAAGGCCCTTGGCCCTGAGTTGCCCTGCAAGAAGACATACTTAATTCACTACCAGCCAGAATGTGACCATGTCAGAAAGAACTTGCTAGTGCTGTGACTGTGGCAAAACCTTTGGTCATAGTTCGCACCTCATTCAGCACTACCAGATCCACGCTCAGGAGAGACCGTACCAGTGTCAGCTCTGTGGGAAGTGCTTTGGCCAGCCCTCACACCTCACTCAACATTAGCAACTCCATTTTCAAGTGAAAACAGTTGCCGTCACTGTTTAAAACCATTTGGAGAGCACACATCTCACCATCTCTGGCTTTGTCCTATAGAAACAACTTTCGAGTGTGCTAAATTTGAGAAGGCCCTCTCCCTCGTCACACCTTGTCAACAACTTGAAGATTCACTGTGGTCTGATGGAAAAGCAGGGAGGAATGGTTGCATAGTTGTGCAGCAACATTTGTGCAAGAGGGGATCCAGCACACATCAGTAGTGACTGGCAAATTACAAAGGGTGTTTTTTTTTTTTTTCAAAAGAAAGAAGCTAATAAGTTTTGCTCCCCTTCAGTGGTATTGATGGATAGAGAACTGCACTTTTGAGATGTTGATAAAATTTGTAATAGACAGTGGTGCTTCAGACTTTTAGTTTTTACAGAAAAGTTATCATACAATAACTTTACCATGTATCAACAAATTGAAAAGATTTTCTAGGTGTGGTCTAAATGAATTCACTAAGCTGATGTTATTGGTAATGTATTTTCCTAGTATCTCATAGTTCATAAAATGTTCTTTTATATATTATTTTTATTTTATCCTTCAAGGTACATAGGACATGTGATGTCAGCTATTTCTAAAGACCCACGCTTTTCCCTTTTTGGGACTGGGGACTAAATCAGGGTCTCACTTGTGTGAAGCATACCCTCTACTGCTGAGATACATCCAGCCCTATTTCTTATTTCGAGATAGCATCTCGCTGTATTGTTCAGGGTAGCCTTGAATTTGTGACCCTCCTGCCTCAGCCTCTGCAGTAGTTAGGAGTTCAGGCACGTATCACCATGCCTGGCTGAAACCCAGACTTAGAAAGTCATCCCCCAAGCCAGTTCACTAATTCCTGGCAGAGGGCTCAGTGTCTTCACCTCCACTGGGGGTTCAGCACCTCTCCTAACTTTCATGTATGACTCTCCTCCGTTACTCTAGTTGGGTCTTTAGTCTCCTGATTTAAGACACAGTGGGTCCTTTTTGAGGTGTCTGCATGCGGGCTGTTTGTGTTTGTATGAACCAAGGCCTAAGGCTTCCTGAGGAGCCAAACTAATTAGGGAGAATCAGGGGCCCCAGACCAGATGATCTTCATTCTTGTGCTCCTTTCATGCCTCAACTGACGGCATGGCAGCTACTACTGCTGTCCCTTTGGCTCCACAGGGTAGGTGGACTGTGCACAGCGCTAGTTCCATAGTTTACAGTTACACTCACTGCAGCGCTTGGGGCCTGGGACGCCCAACCTGGGACTGGGGCTTTCACCCTACTGCTGCCCTAGGAGCTGTGAGAACAATGCATAGAGTCGCTGTCCTCTGCCCGCTTTCCAGCTCCTAACATGCCCAGTAGTTTGGATGTTGCTCTTATGTTGAGATTAATTAGTTTACATTTTAGAAGTATTTGCGTTTTAAGCTTCTTTGTGTGTCTGGTGATGGAAGTAATATGTATTCCTTGAACAAAATTAGAAAATAATTTTTTCTTTGAATATTTGTTTTTCTCCCTCCCAGATAGACTTGTTGCTAAATTTTGTTCCTAGATTTTCTCCCTTAGGCATAAACCCATGAAGGCATTTTTAAAAAGGTGTTTATGAAATACTATGAATTGCACACTTTTGAGCCTCAGTTATTGCAGACATCTTTGCATAGCTATAATGTACTCCTGTTTGATTTTTCAGGGTTACTGAGAACTGGGCTGGGTGGATGTGTCCCACTTAGCCCATAGGGTTGGAAGCTAGCACGGCTGTTACTTCGCTCTGCAGTGCGCTGCTGCTGCAATGTGCTTCCTCCCCTTGTCTCTAAGCCTCGGTCTTTACCTAACCAGTTTTCTCATGTTGAGTATTATTTTCTAAGGGCAGATTCTCAGCAGTGGAATTTATGGGCCAAAGGTAATGTGTTTATTTGTTTTTGTTGTTTTTTGAGACAAGGTCTTGCTGTGTAACTCAGACTGGCCTAGAACTCACTAGATAGTCCAGGCTGGCCTTGAACTTAGTCCTCCGGACTCAGCCTCCCATACCATGGGATAGCAGGCACGCACCACCATGACCTACAGGAATGTGTTTTTTGAAGGCCTAGGAAACACTCTTAGCCTTATCCCAGCAGGGACTGACAGCTGTGCTGATTGTTTTCCTTAAGTACAACCATAAACCACCCACTTCTCCTCCCACATCCCTTTTCTTTTAGAAAAATTTGAACTATGGTTCCAGCTGAGGAAATAACAGGACTGGAAACCAGGCCTGGAAAGAGCCACTGATAAACTGGCATAGTTTGTGAGAACCCTAATTTTAACATTCCTTTATTAGGTATAGCTTCCTGGTGAAAAAGTAACAAGCATGTTAAAGAGATTTTACAAGGCAGTAGAGGCTAATAAACTTCCCGATAAGTTAGATACCCAGTACCCTGTATTCATATGTGGAAGAAAGAGCCTACTGGCAAAGGAGCAAAGAGTTTGGGCTTCGGAGCCATACCTGAGGTCAGATCTCAGCGTTCTCAGAAGCTGATTAAACCTCAGTTTCCTAGGAAACGGATGCCACTGCCATCCATCCACCCCAGGGGACTGTTAGAAGACCTAAAGTTCATTTATAGACAAGACCAGACCAGACTTGCTGGCACTAATAACAGTGAGCTGCTATTATGGAATATTCTTATAGAAGATTTTATTTTAGTGTAAATCACAATTACACTCAAAATGTTAACACAATGTATTATTTAAATCTTACATAAATTTTTTTCTCCACACCACAAATTTGAAGTTCTCTTGCTCTCATTTTTAGTGGCCATTTTAATGACTTATCACATAAAAGTTTGATGAAGTATGTATTTACAGTAGTTTTCTAAAAGGATACATTCCTAAAGATGATTTGCAGGTGAAAGGTGGTGTGAATTTCCGGGCCTCCACAGAGCCTGCTGTGTATTTGGGAGGGACTGTGCCCTTCACAGCCCCCAGCAGAGGGAGCTGTCCTGCCTGAGTCAGCAGAGGTCACCCCAGGCCTGTTGTCAGGATTCCAGGGAGAACAGGTTAGGGGCTTTTCAGCCCACACCCCAGGCAGACAAGACATCCTGGGAAAAGTCTGTGTGCTCAGAGTAATGTCTATTGCTCTTTTTAGATAGCAGTCTCCTTGTATAACCTGCCCACGGTGGCTGTTTATCACAGCAAAAACAAAAAGTGCCTATCTGATGAGGCAAAAAAGTGAGTTTTTACTCACTGATTCATTGTTTATCCAGATGTTTTGAACGACTTTATGCAGTGTAGATGCTTCACTTGTATAGCTTTTGTTTTCTTAATGTTTTGCATGAGCTCATTTTCCTTTTCTTAAAGTATATATTTGTTGTTTGTTTTTTTTTTTTAAAGTAATACTCAGCTCATTAAAGAAAACTCCTGCTTTGGAGAAAAGTAGATCTCTCCCTCCTTCCTCCTGCCCCTAAAACAAAAATATACCATTAACACTTCAGTTTGCTTTCTTACCATTTCAAATGCCAGGCTTATGGAAGTAGTTACCTTGGGGTATAGTGGAGAAGGCATCTCATTTCCAAGGTCTGTCCTTGTGCTCTTTGTCACAGTGGTGACTGCCTGCTGTAACTTGGCTGCAGGTCACTGTCATGCAGCTGTGACATGCATGCAGCAGCACACCTGTTTTCTTACCCAGGCTTATGGCCTCCAACGCAGCTTTCTCTACCTTCACTCCTTAATAGGCCTGTGGCATCACTGGCCCTTAGTCAGTGTGGTCCTTCTCCTCTTTATCAGATGTTTAACTTAGTTCTGGTTTGTCATAAAAAAGGATGATACTGTAATGAAACTTTGGTGCTTAAATGCTTTTTCCAAGTTTAAGATGCTTAAGATGGCTTTACCCAAAGCAGAATTGCTGGGTCAGAAGATGCATAATTGTTTTAAGGTTCTTGACACATGCATCCAAGACTCTGTCAAAAAATTACACCAGGCTGGGTGGGGTGGCATGCGCCTGTGATCCTGGCACTCAGGAGGCTGAGGCAGAAGATCACCCTGAGTTTGAGGCCAGCCTGGGTCACACAGTGAGACCCTGTCTCAAAAAACAATAAGCACAGACAAACCTACTATACCAGTGCACATTGGCATTGGTCCACAGAGAGACCAGTTGTGTAACAAGTATTTTTCACCTTTGCTATTTTAATAGGGGAAAGGACATATTTTAGTTGTATTTATGTGATTTTTAACATTTTCTGTTAAACTCATAAGCGGTTATGTTTCTCTCTGTCTTTCACTCATTTGTATGTCTTTCCTATTAATTTGAGCAATCTCTTTGTAGAATATATTCACCCACTGTCTTTGTCTGCAAGTGTTTTTCCTAGCTTGTTTAACAATTCCTATGAAATATTAAGAGTGCTTTGTTCTGGATTTTTCATTATATTTAACATGCTTTAACCATTTATAAATTTACTTGTGTAGATTGTGTGAAAAAAAGGATCAAATTGCCCCTCTCCTGTTGTCCCTATTCACCTGACATCAATAACTAGTAAAAGAGAAACGCAGACCTGCTGTGTGGGGGGCCTGCACTGGCACCTCCTGCATTGTTTCGCTGGCTGATCACCCTACTCTGTTATACATCTATGTTCATTCATTATTGTGCCTTAGAAAGTCTATATATAAAATTTGTGTGGCAACTGTCTTCTCTTCTAGAGGCAAATGTATGCTTATTAATTGAAACAGCCTTTTGATTATTTCAAAGAACTTGTGCATGAGTTAGGATTCACATCTTTAGTTAGTTTTGATCTCAGCATCTAGAAATATAATACTGTCCTTTCCTGCATTCAGACTTTTTTTTAATCAATCAATAAAATTACATAGTTTTCTTTTAAGGCTCACATTTTCTTTAGTTATTCCTATGTTTCTGTGGTGTGGGTTTTCTCATACAAGGTTTTTCTTCTATTTTTCATAAAAAGCATCTCCGGAACAGGGTCACTTCAGCACTGTCAAGGAATTCTCAAACTTCAGAGCCAGCCCGACTACATGGGTGCTTCTACACAAGTCTCCTGGGAAACCCCAGTGCAGGGGTCCCACTGGCCACGCTCTGTGCTTCCATGTTTCATGTGAAGTACGTTTTACACATGCGAACAACAGGTCACCAGTCTCTCTCTGGTCTCTTTGTCCAGGTAACTCAAAAAGACAGGGAAGAGATGCTCTTCTGATGTTGGTGAAAACTGGGAACCCCAGGAAAATACAGAGGAGCCTCGTGGGCAGGTATGTGCTTATGCACACAAATACACATTCAGGCTTACAGTTACCTCCTTGCGGTCATGGTGGCCCCACACCAAGCCTCAGTGTGGACTCTTCCTTCCCTGAGAATTCCTTTGGGAAGATGTCAGTACCCATGGGACAGTGACTCCTTCAACAGAAGTAAATCTTCAGAGGAACACAGCCCCTGTGCTCACAAACTGGCTGCTTAGGTTCCATACTCCTCTGACACCGATAACCTGCCATCCCTGATGTGAACATGAGATATGTCACTCACTTCCTAAGGTGCATGCCATATATCACAGCAGCTACAGATCCTCTGCTCATAAATCTAACAAGAAAAATCACACATGCAAACACTAAACTCACATTACACAAAACTGCTCCATCCTAGGCACAGAGATCCCACTCCAACAGTCATACATGGATACAGACTACACCCTACCCTGTGCTACACACAGGCTTCCACTGAATTACAAATACACCACATCCAAGGGGAAACACACACAATGTCCACGTTCCCTCCTTGTATCCCTTCCTAAATCATACCTGCTCCCGGAGTTCACTGCAGGCCCTAATGACATCCCACAGTCACACAAAGACCTAGCAAGTGCAGATTTGCAGAAGGGAGCAGGAATACTCTCAGCAGAGTGGCCCCTGCCCAGGATGAAAAACCCCAGAGGGTTTAGAGGAAATCCTGGCATGGGGCCCTGCTGTTCTCTCTGCCCTGCCACCATCAAGCTGCCATGGTTACACTGTGGCCTCTCCTTAATTGACTCAGGGCTTTATTTTGCCACCTGTCTGCTTTTCCTCCCCTCAGCATGCCCTGAGAGCTTGCTTTGCTCACCTGTCACCTGGCGTCTCCAGGCCGCCCCGTCCTGCCATTTGTTTCCTGTGGCACCTAGAGCATGCTGATTTGGCCAGATCGATGCCTCTGCAGCTTCGATGACACATGAATGCTCACCTTTGACCTTGCATTGACCTTTGATGCTGACAAATATATTTTACAGTTTGTTTCTTTCCTCTGTGTTTCCTTTTTGTGTTGGCAATCTGGTTTTGCTTGAATGACTGAAGGGGAAATACAGTGGCACCTCAGTCCACAAACTTAATTCTTCCCTCAGTTCTGGTTGCACAGAGAATGGATGAGAACCCAATCAAATTCAGTGGCCCAGTTCCATGTTGAGGAAATTTGATCCCACTGTCATTCAGTTCAGTTTGTGACCAGAATCATGGAAAGAATTAAGTTTGTGAACTGAGGTATTTAAACTTGCATTTTTAAAAAAATCTCTTTTGCTAGAACTTGACAAGACAGCCACTTGGTTTTATGGTTCCAATTCGCATGATCGTCCTGAGTGGTCCCATAGGCACATGCTTCAGGTGCTGGCCTCTCCAGGGCCCACAGCAGCCTATTTCTTGGTTTTGTTCTCGGTGCTTTGCTTGAGATGGGCTCACTATGCGGTTCAGGCTGGCCTGGGCTCACTTAGTAGCCCAGGCTGGTCTCAAACTTGCAAATGATTCTCCTGCCTTGGCCTCCTGAGTTCTGGGATTACAGGCACGTGCCACCACACCCAGCCTGTGTGCTTAGCTTTAAAGACAGCTTTGAAGTAAAGTGTGAAGTTAAAGATGTCACTGATACCTTCGTGGCTCCCGAGCGCTTTCCACTGATGCAGTGGTGGGGCTTTGATGACCATGTGTGTTCTCATTTTAGTTTCTCAGGGTTCTTGACTGCAGAGCACCCCTGAACCTGCTCCTCTTTGACAGCAGGCTGCAGCTTTGGTCCTGGCCCCCTTTTCTTCATCTCTTGTGGTCTCCCCAAGGTGGCCCTGCTTGTGCCCAGAACCTGCTTGCCCCTCAGCCTGCTTGCCTCTTGGCTCATCACACAGGCTCCGATGCAAAATGGGCTTCTTTGATCTTTTTGTTTTTGCACTGTTTTTGTGTTTTTATTTGGAATATTTTTCTTTCCCACTAAAATTATGCTCAGAAAACACAAGTTCTGTTTTCTGCTATTTCTTTACAGCTTCATATACTTGACCTTCACCCTTCTGTTTCTACAATTTGTGCAAAAACAGGCCAATTTAAAAGGGTTCATTCAAAGAAACCCTTTTAAATTTAATGGGGTTAATTGTTTTCCCCTCAAGATCATGCAGCTTTCTCCTCCAGGACCCGAGGAGTGCATGCCTATGCAGCTGGCTGGTCACCCACCATGGGGCCAGGAGCAAAGAGGTCAGCAGGGGAAGGGCCTGTTCAACTCTGCTGGGGGCTGAGTAGGGTCCCAGTCTTCTCTCAGTCACAGCCCTGCACCACCTGCTCCATCTGAGCACTCTGCCCTGCCTGACTTCACCCTCTCAGCCAGGTGAAGAGCTACAAGCTGCTGTCCCTGGGTACTGAGGAGACTTTTCCTCTTGTGACACCACCCAGCCTCGGGGTTGGGGACTAGAAGAAGGTGATGGGGAGAGACCAGGGGAAAGGGCAGGATGGGTCTGCAGTGGGCAGAGCTGGGGAAGGACGTGGGGTTGGCGCTTTGCTCACCGCATCTGAACAGGGGTAAAGTTTCAGATGCCTTCAGAAAGGAGAATCGCCTTAAAAATAATGGATGACTTCAGAATCAAGAGACTACCTAGTAACAAAAAGCGAAATCGAAAATCAAAACTCAATATATTTACCTGGCAGCAGAATGGACACTGTGGGAAGCAGAATTAGGAACTAGAATAAGCAAAAACTAGACTCAGCACAGAGGGACAAAAAGATGAAAAAACCACGGAAAGGAGAGCAGGCGAGAGGAAATAGAAGCTCCAATACATGTGAGAGGTAAGCCTCAGAGGAGAGAAGGGCGGCAAGGTGAAATCAGAAGAAAAAAATAACCAAGAGCTTTCCGGAAGTGGTGAGAAACACTTGGCCTCCCCAACATGTAACATGACAAGGAAATCAACCCCCAAATAGAAGGCAAAGACAGGAGGCCAAAGGTAAAGAGATCCCCATAGAAGCATCCAGAGAAAAAGGCCCCCTTCGAAGGCTGACGGATCAGGTCTGGGGACTTGGTGAATACAAAGCAAGAGCTCTAGCCCTGAGCCATGCCCCAGCCCCAGATAAGGCCTTAAAAGCACAAGGGGAGGCGCAGAGAACGGGTGAGCTCAGGGTGCGTTGGAAATGAACTCACCCAGTGTAGGTCGAGAAAATCAGCGCAGAGCTGGGAGTGCAGCTCAGTGCAAGGCTCTGGACTCAATCCCTGGCACCAGAAAAAAAGCACTAGCAGAGATATATCCTGGGGGACTCAATGTGCCTCTTTTTTAGATTTTATTTAAAAGGAAAAAAAAATAAAGCGGTGTAAGGGTACAAGTAATACAGAACTACCAAAAAAAAAAAAAAAAAACCAACCAGTTAATAGATTATACATTATCATAATCCCAGAGACAGTTGCTCAAGTCACAGTATCAAAGCATACAAAGTGGGCATTCAAACAGTGAGACTGCAAACAGTTGTGTTCAATGATCCAACCAAAAACATTAATATGGTCATCTATTTAACACCCCTAAACACACTTGCAGTTGTATCCTTTAGAGCACTTTTTTCCCCTCTCTTTTTTACAACACAATTTACACATTTTGGGTTTTATTACTCCTTAGTTCTTACTACTTTTTTTTGGAAGAGAATAAAAAATATGGCAAAACAAAGCTGTCAGTCAAAACCAACAATAGACATAGCGCATGATGTAAAAACAGAGTACAAGGTGATCAACAGTGGTTACCATAATGCCTCTTGCTTCCTTAAAAAGAATTGTCTATCTCATTAGGTATTATAAAGTTGAACAAAACAGTAGAGAACAAGACCAATAAAACCTAAACCTTGTAAACATTACAGGACTTCCAAAGAAGATAATAGTCAAACCAGAATGGGCAACATAGTGAATCTTACTGCCGTCAAGGTAGTTGCCTATACCCTCAAACTTGATACTATCATACAGAACAGAACAGAGTCTAGTCAGTCAAAACAAGATAGTGGGAGTATTACAGGACTTCAAGTTAATAGGAAATCAAAAAAGTTACTATAATATATCCTAATTTTTATTTTTCCCCTTAATTAAAAAAATCAAAAATTAATTTTTTCAATGAATAAGGGAGAGAGTGAGATAAAAGAGGACATAACAACATAACAATACAGGACAAAGCATGACAGTTTCAGCAACCTAGTACTTCACCACCAAATAACCCGACTTAATAGTAGTTACCATAGTGTCTTTTTCCTTGAAATATTTGAATATAACTTCATATACTATAGCTTCAAATATATCAAGTCAGTGTAAAACCATTCAAGTGGATGAAAGCATTGTAGGGTATTTAGAACCAGCTAACAGAAAACGAACAATGGTTTCTATATCTCTCTTTGCCTATAACAATTTTTGTTTGTATTATCACATATAATAAAATCCAGCAAGATACATCATGATAAAACCAATGGAGACAGAAGAGCCATAGTTTGGTGGGGCTTCAAAACAGCCTCTTTACGTGGACATAATTTCAACACTTTTTTGTAGCTGCTTAGTACTCCAAGCCTAACCGCTGGAGCGTCTATCCTTAAGACGCCCATGAGAACCGGTCTTTTCCAGACATAGGAGGTGATGAGCCTAGGTTCCTACGACAGAACCCTGGGCAGCCGCTAAAATGAGGAATTCCATGAGAGCCAGGTACCTGCTTCGAAGTATCTCCCCTGAAGAGCCGAGGACACCAGCTCAGCGATGCATCCCTATGGGGTTCACAGGAGCGCGGTTCCTGACAGCTCCACCCTGTGAGCTAGCGGGCGATGGGTAACGACCAGGCGATAACCGCACATGCGCACTCGGCTCTCAAGCAGGTGGGTTAGAACCTCTGTAGGGGACTGGATGCGAGCCAGAAAGTGAATGTGGAGTGGAATGAATCAGACACACAAACCAAATACCAGATAGTGCCTTCATGTGAGGAAGGCAGAATACAAACAGAGCACAGTGAGAGGAGGATAGAAGGAGGCAGAAGGGACACAGACCTCCCAGGAGTGGAGAGGGGTCCAGGGCACCGGGCGGCAGCAGAGGCAGAGGGCGGAGAAGGGATCTGGAAGGATTACGCTGTTACTCCCCGCACCGGCTCCCTGAGAGGTCGCGAGTCGCAGGTACCACCGACGTGCATGTGCTAACAGGAAAACGAGCAACTAGAGCAAAGACAACGATCGGCAGAGCCTGTGCTGGGGGCTGAGATTGCAGTAGGTCCTGGAGGGATAGATGCTGGTGTATGGGAGGCTGAGGTGGGAGGCTTGCATCTCCTGTGGTGCAGAGAGACACTAGGCAGGTGATTGGAAGGCTGATGAGTTAGTTCAGGTGCAAGGGCTGCTTTACTTCCACCCCAAAAGCACGATTGTTGTGGCAAGGAGCAGGCGCATGAAAACAAACCAAAACTCACAGCTGCAAACAAGTGCGATTTCTCCACAGAACCTGTGTCACTGGGTGAAGGAGAGGAAGGACTGATAGCTTCTACCATGTGGTTGGACGCCGAACAAACGCCAAGAGAAAGCATTCCGGTGCCCAGTGTGCGTGGGGTAAAACCTCACTCTGTGCAATTTCCACGCCAGGCAAATCAGGAGACAGGAAACGGGCACCAGGCTGCCGACAGCAAGGCCTGTGGGCCGGAGATTGGCAGAGCTCCCTGCAGCCAGCCAAGGCACCCTCTGGGTTGGGTCGATGGGTGACTCCCAACCCTGCGACCACAGCGAAACCTCTGCAGCCACAATGAACACTTGGATGGAGTCGAGGACCACGTGGCCCGGTGAATACGTTGAAAACCGTTTGGCTCTGCATTTTACGTGGGTGAACTTTATGAAGGGAAGAAATCAATGAAGCTATTAAAATAGCGTTAATGCTGAGCATGGTAGTGCATGCTTGTAATCCCAGCACTTGGGAGGCTGAGGCAGGAGGGTTGCCAGGAGTTTGAGGCCAGCCTGGGGTACAAAGTGAGTTCAAGGCCAGCCGAAG